TATAATTAATCCCGTAACAAGCATATTGGCCGCAATTTTGAACAAAAAAAATTATAAGTGATAACACCCAAAACTGCCACCACTCACACTGCACAGTTATCACACATTTTCCAACTCTAGATTTACATACCTTGCCAAAGATCGCTATGAACACTGCTCCTTTTGATCATTTGATACCGGTGGCCCAATTTGTGGACCGAAGCTGATAGCCTATTATATAATACCTTTTAAAGGTGCAAGGCCTGATTTCTGTTCTCCACCTTGTATGAAGGACCTTCAATCAAACACTATATAAGTTACACAAGGATCAGTGCTGCCAGTTTTGAAATAAAAAGCATTTTTATGAAAAAAATATGCCAATGAAGAAGTGTTCTCATACAGGGTGAGTCAACAAAATGCAAACCCAAAACCTCAAAAATATATTTCATATTCAAAAACATATGTAGCACCAACAATAATGATGACTGGAAAGCCAATTTCATAAGCTACTTTTAGATGAAAAAAAAATACTCAAATTGCTCAATCCGTTCAAAGAATATCACCATTTAAACACAATGACCCTAAAACCTCTTTCGTCCAAAAATGTGATTTCAAGAATCGTCGTCACAATGGCATTCAGATATCACCAGTTTAAAAGTTAAAAATATTCTTTTTATTGGATTTTGTAAATCATATTGTCACAGAACTATTTCCTCAGTGACATTTCCTTCATTAGAACCATTTAGAAATTCTCAAAGATCTTCCTATTAAAGCTGCACATTGACAGTTAAAGACGTGAAGCATAGACACTGTAGGCGTGGCACTGATGGGTATGTAGGACTTCTGCCTCAATTGGTCAGATTGCTGAATCCTTTCTTCATTATACACAAGACATGGTGACTCAGCAATACATGCAAGTCCAGTACACTTCTATCAGTCAACTGTGTTATCTGTGTTGTCTCCCATTACAAAGCTGGAAAGGTTAATATCTGGTTGTAAGATTCTGTTAAGCAATCTGCGATTGTTGTCTTGTAAAGCTGTCTATATTATTTGTGAAGGCTTGTTTTCTTTCACGTCTGAGTGGTTCCTACACTTTCTGTTTCCCCTCTTGGGGGGAGGGGGACTGGAGTTCCAACCATCTACCACCCTCTGACTTAACACATTCTGTTGTAAAGTCACCAGCTGTGAGGGGATCTTTCATTGACATTTTCATTTGAGTGTTTATTACACTTTGTGTTTTCCTTGGGAAAGCGAGTCCCGTTGTCATGTTTATGATGATTTGTGTTTCCCTGGGGGAGTGAGTTCCAGTCATCTACCACCCTCTGACTGACACATTCTGCCTATCAGCTGTGAGTGTATCTTTCCTTGAACATGCCTCTGTCTATCTCTGCTGGTTTGTGTTTCCCTGGGGGAGTGAGTCCCAGTCATCTACCACCCTCTGACTGACACATTCTGCCTATCAGCTGTGAGTGTATCTTTCCTTGAACATGCCTCTGTCTATCTCTGCTGGTTTGTGTTTTTCCTGGGGGAGTGAGTCCCAGTCATCTACCACCCTCTGACTGAACACATTCTGCCTATCAGCTGTGAGTGGATCTTTCCTTGAACATGCCTCTGTCTATCTCTGCTGGTTTGTGTTTTTCCTGGGGGAGTGAGTCCACGTCATCTACCACCCTCTGACTGAACACATTCTGCCTATCAGCTGTGAGTGTATCTTTCCTTGAACATGCCTCTGTCTATCTCTGCTGGTTTGTGTTTTTCCTGGTGGATAATATACAGAAAGTCCCTTGGCCTTGTCAGGTTTGAACCCTTAGCTGCATCAACTGACTTAAACTGTCTGCTCAGATTAATCATTACAGTCAAATTTGGACCTTCCCTCATGATGGGGAAATATCCAGCACAAAGTGCTGGTTAGCGGTGACATTTTGTGAGTCTCATTTTCAAATTCTGCAAAAACTTACTTAAGATCTGCTCAAGCAAATGATTTCTGTATTGGATAGTTCAACTGCACCTTGCACAGTGTACCAAGGGGCACCAAGGAAAATGTAGAAATTTGTTAAAATGCTAGTTACCCAGGATATTTTTCAGAGAGGGAGATATTTACAAGAACTATCTGTAGTCTGTGAATAATGAGGATCCTTATCTCTGTATTCCAGTAACTTGACTGTGACAGATGTAACAGTTGTAATTACATGTAGTGTGGTCATTACTGTACGGTATGATGATTGGGGATAACATGTATATGTAGAAATACAACCAGCCATTCTCATTAACTGTAATAATTGTACATATTACATGATAAATTGTAAATATGCAGAGGTAATTTATATTTATATTTTTTTATATTTTTGTATCACTTGTTAAATGAATATTGCTGCCAATTGCCTACTGACCTGATTGACCTGCAATATACAATCATTTCTGTAAACATTTCTGAAATACCTGTGTTTGTAAGTATTAATATTCGTCGTCTGTTTCGCCAATGCACTTTTCTTATGAGTTTTACTGTGCTGAACATTATTCAATAATTTGTAATGTATGCAGGGCCCCAATGGAAGTTTTTTTTTACAACTGTTTGGGCACACCCTGGGTATAAAGAAATGGAAATAAAGTGAGATGGCTTGACTTTTCAATCCTAGTAGGGTCTGTCTCAGATGCAAACAAAACTATGTGAATATTTAATATTGCTCATCTGAAGATTGGGCAAAGTGAGCCAGATTGCTCTATTTTTATAACTTCTATTTTGTATTAATATATATAGTCTGATGTACTTTTTATAACAGCCAACTTGCCTTGCTTTTGTACCAAGTCATAAGAATCATGCAACTTGCCATCATTGGATCCAGTACAACTCAGATTTGTTATCTTTTTAATATCAAGAATCACATATTGCATGATGTACATTGTATAGTGTTTACAATGGGTCAAATGTTTGTTATTGCCAGATGAATGTTGCCTTTATTATGCACTGAATGCCCGCATCATTAGCATAATGCTGACATAGCAGGCTGACATAGTCTAGTGTGGGTTTTTCTCTTTGTCTTGTGTCACACACAATTAAGCAAGGGATTTGAGTTAATGACACACCAGGTTTCTAAGCAAATCAATAGAATTCTTTTCTCAGTCATTTATTGCTGTCAGTGTAAATCTCTGATTGAGAAAAGGCTACACCAAGTTAGGACACAACAATTATATGAAATTTGTCTCAATAGTTTTTTGTGATTGGGACAGCCAGCATGTATTTGATCCGATCTTTCAAATTGCTGTTCTGTTTAAGTCCTCGCTCTTTGAATATTCATAAAGGTTTGAAAACGATACTTCATATGATTCTGATGTTTGACAGTATTAAAGTGTTGGTTTTTTTTCTTCTAAAGATTGTTACTTCCTTGCTGCAATACTCAAGAAATATTTTCTCTTTTCATTTTGCTTCATCTCAAAAGACAGTACTGAAATTTCTTTCTTCACAATTACCTTGTATTTATAGATAAGTATCCAGTGAAAGTCAAGTTTCATGTTCATTCCTGGTATGAAATTGATGTCTGTCAAAATACAGGTTTTTGTGTGCATCATGCGTTTTGATATTTGAACTAAGTTTACATCTGATAAGTCCCATTTAAAAGTATGGGATTGTTGTATGCAAATGTAGTTAAATAAAGACACTTTTGCAACTGATTGCTTGTTTGTTAACAGCTGTGTGTTTTTGCGTGTGTGTCAAGTTCTAAATATGGCTGGGGTGAAATTTACAATGGGAGCGACGAGTTAGAAGGGGAATTATTTGGTTGAAGAAAAAGGTAGATTAAACGTTGCTTGTTGATGTATACTGCTAAATGTGCAGGATTATTTTAACGACCTAACCCCCCCCCCCCCCCCCCCCCCCCTTCCACATCATCAATGTGTATCAATTCTTTTAGGAACAGGAGCCAAATGAGAGGTATAAAAAGTATTAATATGAAGACATTTTCCTTTGATTTTGCAAGCAAATATTTGTAAAGGGATGTGAAACGTTGGACTTCTGACGCTTGTTTTGATCCGCTAACATTATAATGTGAGGGAGACAAACCACACCAGAGGACCCCGAAGCCTAGCCCGACTGCGTCTGGCCGTACAGTACTATCGCAAGCTCTGTAGTACGGCCAGACGCCCGATGCTTCCACAGAGACTGAATTTTGTTGGCCGCCGATGTAGCGATTTTGCTACATCTTTCGATCGCGATTATCTTTTCATCCAGGACTCACATTTCCAAAGTTAAGGTTCGTAGTCGTAGAGCAACTCATACCTTTTCGAAAAAACGTTGTTTGGTCTCAATATTTCCATCCATCTGGCCACAAGACGAATTTCAGTCATCAGATTCCACAAATATCGTCCCCCATGCGATCCCCCATGCGATTTCAAAATGGCGGCCGCGCTGTAATGTATGCAATATGCAGGCGCGCCCGCGCAAACTCATGAATATGCATAAACAGTCTGTGACGTAGACCTCGTGTTTTTGGACGTACGGCCCCGCCGCACGCACGTCCAAAAACACGAGGTCATACGTCACAGACTGTTTATGCATATTCATGAGTTTGCGCGGGCGCGCCTGCATATTGCATACATTACAGCGCGGCCGCCATTTTGAAATCGCATGGGGGATCGCATGGGGGATGATATTTGTGGAATCTGATGACTGAAATTCGTCTTGTGGCCAGATGGATGGAAATATTGAGACCAAACAACGTTTTTTCAAAAAGGTATGAGTTGCTCTACGACTACGAACCTTAACTTTGGAAATTTGTGTCCTGGATGAAAAGATAATCGCGATCGAAAGATGTAGCAAAATCGCTACATCGGCGGCCAACAAAATTCAGTCTCTGTGGAAGCATCGGGCGTCTGGCCGTACTACAGAGCTTGCGATAGTACTGTACGGCCAGACGCAGTCGGGCTACCCGAAGCCCTCCTGTTTTGACTCCGCTCAGTCCGTGTTATTGAAAACTTTTTTGAATACCGCCCTCTATTGCACTGAGGTCGATGACCAACACCAGGAAATAAATCTGACGATCAAGTGATCAACAAGATTCTCGGCCCACTAAAGGTTGGAAAGTTTGTTTTTTTACCACATTTTACCATTAATTATATATTTAAAGTGATAATTAGGGTTGGATATAGCATCATGACTATTTTGATTCTTTTTAAAGATACAATCATTGATTTTTTCAGAGTGTTTTTTTGCCAAAAAATGACCAACCCAACTTCCGAAGTCAAGACAAGAGTGCGCTCGTAATCGTATATCGTGGGAGGACCTGTTTTCGCGGTGCCCTATTTCCGCGTCCTTACCTTCTGCGTTACGCGGCGCGCTGTAAACAACTCCCCGTGACGAAATAAACTTTGCTAGTTGCTGACAATCTCCTCTCCTCTCCGCTGACCCAAAAATGTGGAAAGTAAAGGCTCTACCGGTAAGTTGTACTTGTAAATATCAAAATTTGGGTTATTTAGGCCTAATTCGCAAGGTACAAAACATGTTTATATTGCTAGAGCCATAAATAATTATTGCATAATCATTGAAAGTTTCAGCTTACAAAGTTTCGAAAAAAAATTTGTAATGATCAAAATCACGTGACTGGTTTGAGTGCCGAGCATGCTGGGAAAAAAGTACAGAGGCCTATAAAAGACATGTGGCTTATATCATTTTTCTCACTGTCTAGAAAAATCGGTATTTTCCTCAAAATGAAGGAATGAATTAACATACAGCAAAGGCTTATTTTGTATAAGACGGTTATTAATGTGCATTTGAGATATTAAAAATATACATTTGTTCATGAAAAGAGCGTGTGTTGTGCTTTCTTTAATAAGACTATACATTATCAGAGTAAAATGAATGATATAGGCCTACTTAAATAAATACTTAAATAATTACTCCAAACTCAACAATAATGCACAACAAAGGTTGATTTATATCTGATAAAAAGAAGATTATTAATAAAATATTATATTATATTAAAATATTATATTAACTAGTTTTATGAGCAACTGATTATGTGACACCAATAGCAAAATCTATATAAATGTTCTTATCCTATAGAACATGTGCACAAGCCCTCTGTTGCAATCCAGAACAACTTCTTACAGAAACTACTCACCAACAGCTTTGTCAAAAGCATTTTGTCTCGTGATTGATGAGAATGGGTCAGTTGGGGGTGCTGCGAGGAGGTACGGGGTCCCTGAGTCCACATTACGGGATCGTGTTCTGGGGAAGGTTGACCCCGAAGCAACAAGATCGGGACCAGCTCCTGTGTTCAGCCTCGAAGAGGAGAACAACTTGGTGGACCACCTGAAGAAGATGGCGCTACTGGGTTATGGATATAGCAGGGCCGAAGTTATCGATACAGCCACAATATATGCTGTCAGTCTCAACAAAAGGGACGAAGATCATCCACTCAGCCTCAAATGGTTTCGCAACTTTATGACCAGATGGCCTGAGCTGAGTGTCAAGAAGCCACGCAGCCTGGATCTGTACAGAGCGAAGGCAACCTCTGAAGAAGTAGTGATGGCATACTTCGCCAAGCTCGATGAGATGCTGACAAAATACAAATTGAAGGATGCACCTGAACGCATCTTCAATGTTGACGAAAAGGGTCTGAAACAAAACCATTCCCCACCTTTCATCGTTGGTTCGTCCTCCTCATCCACCCCACTTGCTGTGACAAGCGGCAGAGGGATGACCGTTACCATCATCGGTGCTGGGAATGCTCTGGGTCAGCAAGTACCTCCATACTTTGTATTCCCAGGACAACGTATGAGGCAGGAGCTACTCAATGGCTGCTTACCTGGAACAGATGGGACCGTCAGCGAAAGTGGTTGGTCGAATACTGCTGTCTTCATGACATACCTTTCAACACACTTCTTGAAATATGTCACTGCGAGCCGAACGGAAGATGAGCCAATACTCCTTCTCTATGATGGTCATCGATCTCACATCAACCTACCACTGATTGACTGGGCAAGAGATCAACACATCTTGCTCTTTGTCTTGCCTGCACATACAAGTCACGTCCTACAGCCACTTGATCTAGCATGCTTTGGGCCATTTGAGAAGATATATAATTCCCTCTGCCACCGACAAATGCGAGCCAACTCAACGACAGGGATTGATAGATATTCTGTGAGATTGCATGCAATGCATATACAAAGGCCCTCTCTCCAGAGAACTTAAGGAGCTCTTTCAAGAAAGGAGGGATTTACCCTTTGAATAGTGGTGTCGTTGATCGTGCCATGTACGCTCCGGCTAGAGCTCTAAACAAGTGCACCTCTAACCCAGCAACAAAAGAAGGGGATTTCCCCCAAGTATCGGAGGTTGGCCCGCAAGGTGACCATTCATCTGAAGATGGTGGCCTCCATGTTGTCAGACCAGATCTAAAAGTCGATCATATTCCAGGCAGGAAACTCGAAACGATACATTTCAATTGCCCATTTATAAATTACATTTACAAGTTTGCCGATTGAAGTTTTGTGTTGCCCAAACGAATGTTTTGGGAGACACCAGTCCTAACATTTCCTGTGACCGTTGTGTTCGTATGTTAAAGTTTATTTAATGTTTTTTTAATTACTCTCGTTACCTAAGTAGGCCTATTCGTCTGAATTTACATGAAAAATTGACCTAATTAAGTACCAAAGATGATGTAGGATATATTCCATGTCAAAGTTCGAAGGTCAAATGAGGTCAGCTATGATTTACAGAGGTTTAGGTTTAATAAGAAATAGGCTACAATTAAAAATAAAACACGACCACTCAAGAAAACCTGAAAGTAGAAAAATATGTAAAATGTCATTTATTTATTTTTCATTTGAAATTTATAGCTTTAATACCATATGATATATTTTCGAAGTATAGAAGGTTGATTTTTGGAAAATATAAGATAGCTACCGACAATGGAGCCTGATGGAGACACGCCGAGTCATGACATACATTTATTCCACGTATGACTTTACCGGGACACCGTACCCCCCGCAACCCACGGAAATAGGTCACGCTCGACGCGTGGAGGCGCTTCGCGAGGACGTCGGAGATCGTTCCGTTGTGTGAAAACTGCGAAGGTCGTCCAGTTTTTATTGTTGTTTGCATATTGCCCATGAACTAAGGAAGGTAAATAGGACATCCATTGGTATCTTGCACTTGTTAATTTTTTTCAAAACAAAGAAAAAGCCCTATACCCGCGAAAACTGGTCTCTCGAGGATACAAAAATCGTGTCGACGGAGCCAAATTTTGATTTTCACATTTAGGCTTAGTTTGTAGGTTTTTTTTGCTTTAGAAGCATACTCACCCTCTTTATAGGCTAATCAGAAAGTGCTGCCTTTTTCAGATGTATATTTTTCGTGAAATTTCCAGATTCATTTTTACACGTTTGCGTATCAAAATTTTAACATGAAATTTCACAAAAATTAGACATCCGAAAAAGGCAGCACTTTCTGATTAGCCTGTAAAGAGGGTGAGTATGCTTCTAAAGCAAAAAAAACCTACAAACTAAGCCTAAATGTGAAAATCAAAATTTGGCTCCGTCGACACGATTTTTGTACATGTGGATGTGTGGCCTATGTTTACGGAGGCAGTCCAGTAAATAGGCCACATTTATGGGGCTAGCCGTCGGTATGCTGCGCTGAACCAAGGTTCAGCGCAGCATACCGACGGCCACACTAGTGGGGCTACAACTTCCCAAGACAAGAGAGACACTTTTAATTTTTTCGAAGTGGCTATCGTTACGGCATTCGTTGTTTAGCGCCCTCTACGACACTTTTTTGATACGCACGCAGATATATAATTATTTGTTTCCCCACGTCATGGTGAGCAGTGCGACAGCTCAGTCGATAAAGGGTAGGATTTTGCACCGCGAGGTTGCGGGTTCGCATTACTCCTAGAACTATAGAGTCAGAACCCCGCAAAATTGTTATCAGCACAAAACACTAATTAAGTACAAAAACGTCCATCCCAACCAAGCTGTTTTCCACAGAACCGCCGCACAGTTTGCCCCTAAACTCCGTACAATACCTCATGACATACTCACGTTATGTGCACCCAACAAACATCGGTGGATTCTGTCTGTTTTTAGGCCAAAATGATGAAAAATATGCCCTTTCCGCACTGAGCTAACCTGACACTTGAAATGTGCACGCGCGGAGAATGATCGCAATCATTTTCGGTTCGATCGCTCAGAGCGCGCCGCGGGGGGTACGTACTTGCACTTGTACGCATGCGCATACTATCGTTCCGCTCCTACACCATACCCCCGCGGCGCGCTCTGAGCGATCGAACCGAAAATGATTGCGATCCTTCTGCGCGCGTGCACGTTTCAAGTGTCAGATTGGCTCAGTGCGGAAAGGGCATATTTTTCATCATTTTGGCCTAAAAACAGACAGAATCCACCGATGTTTGTTGGGTGCACATAACGTGAGTATGTCATGAGGTATTGTACGGAGTTTAGGGGCAAACTGTGCAGCAGTTCTGTGGGAAACAGCTTGGTTGGGATGGACGTTTTTGTACTTAATTAGTGTTTTGTGCTGATAACAATTTTGCGGGGTTCTGACTCTATGAGGCTCCACTACGTGAAGCCTCATAGTTCTAGGAGTAGGTTCGCATCTCAATTTTGCACTCGAATTTTTTTCCTTTTCTAACCTGAGGCTTTGGAGAATTTTTTTTAAAGGGAAATAAAGTCTGAATTTCATAACGTTCAAATTCACTTTTTTCCTTCTAATTTTACATTTTCTTATGTTTTTATAAAAGTTGCAGTACTACCGTAACGATAGAAAATGGGAAATGCGTTACGGCTGCCGTAACAATAGCCACTGCGTTAATTTTTATTTAGTGCGGCCGAAGGCGCCCCTCATTGTGTTTTTCTCCATTGTCATTCATGACGACGCGGCCGGCGTAATTTTTATTCCTAGGAGGGTTAGGGGCAAATTCACAGTAGTGTCGATGGGAAAATCATGTTTATCCATGAGAAGGGACAATGACATCAACAACATTGTTGTTAGTTACTCAACTAGTTACAATACATTAAAGCGTTTTAAAGAACAGTTGTCGTCGAGCTACCACACAGTAGCCTAGTGGATAGCGAGATGAACTTATGGATACAAAGATCCCTGGTTCGAATCCACGTCGTCGCAGCTCATTTTCATCAGCTATTTTTTTCTCCAAATTTATCACTGAGATAATTTTAAATTAAGGGGAAAATAGAACGAGAACCTAAGTCTTGCAATGATTCAAAGGAAAAACTGAATTATTCATGACATTGCCCCTAACCCTCCTAGGAAAAAAAATTGCTAAACTTTCTGAAAAGTTATTGAAATCTAAACTGTTTATGGTAATATTATAAGTGTACTTTAGGACCCCTAATCATGCTAACTTTTCATAGTTTTAAGTCCATACCGTTTATGGACCTGATAAATGTGGCTGAAGCTATATCCTCATACGCCCATATGAAACACACATCACACATGCTCGAGAGCTTGCTTGCAATACAAGCCGGTGTCGTGCCAAAAACCGTCCGGTGCCAAATAGTGTCTGCTGAGCATGCACAGTGTGTGCCAGACACTATTTGGCACGTATTATACATGCTAAATAGTGTCTGGTGCCAAATAGTGTCCGGTGCCAAATAGTGTCCGGTGCCAAATAGTGTCCGGTGCCAAATAGTGTCCGGTGCCAAATAGTGTCCGGTGCCAAATAGTGTCCGGTGCCAAATAGTGTCCGGTGCCAAATAGTGTCCGGTGCCAAATAGTGTCCGGTGCCAAATAGTTTCCGGGCGCCGTCGATCGAGCAAGTACTTATGGGGCGCACGTACCGTGACATCCGGCCGGATAGTGATATATTTGGCTGGAAAAATCGGACAGTAGGCCTATTTCTCAGGAAAAATCGGACAATATTTGGCAGGACAAACGGTAAAAAATTATAACGTTGGTTATAATGCTAAACAGCACAGTACTACTACACACACACACTACACACGACGTTAGGTCGTACGTACGGACATACTGCACGTGTTTCAAACAGGTGAACTGACACGAAAAAAACACAAACATTTGCTCAAATATAATGACTAATGTTTAAACTATCAGGGAAACTTAGTCAAATAGTAGATAAAAGGGAGACGTTAAAACCAATCGTAAACTAAAAACCAAATCTGTACGACGTCTTGACAGCTTGACAAGGCACGCAATAGGGTGCACGCTAAGCGCGGACACTATTTGGCAAGCTTCCGTAAACAATGTGACGTCATAGACGCATGACCAATCAGATCGCATTATGCTAATTAGCGGACACTATTGGCACCGGACAGTTTTTTTGCACGACACATGATGTGGATTTAGTATGCCGGGCAGAATGCCTCTCATTTAAATTATAAATTGTCATAACCACTCCTCGACTAGTGGATGTCAAACTCAAGGTGGCATCGTATTGGGTTTAAAAATGATCGGTCAATTTGCAAGCAAGGTCTACCACATTTCACGTGGACGCTGAGGCATAAGACTGTTTACAATCGATGTACATTTTGAATGTGGTGCTGGACTTCCTCAAACTTGTTATAGAAAACCTACAAATAGAAACTTAATGATAGATTTACAGAACTTTAACAGATTGTCTCTTTAATTTTACCTTCAGTGTGGCATATCCAATTGCTTTAAAACATGAGAGGCATTTTCTCTGGCATACCCTGTCCAGCTTGTATTTGCAAGCAAGCGCTGGGGCATATAAGACTGTTTCTGATCGATGTACATTTTGAACGTGGCACTGGACTTCTTCCACTTGTGGTGGAAAAAGTACACGTATGCAAATTTGCTGAGATTTACACACGATCAATAACAGATTCTCTCCAAAGGTCAGGCTGGCATCGCAATCAGTATAAAAATGAGAGGCATTCTCCCCAACATACCCCATCCAGCTTGTTGCCAGCTAGGTCTCTTGCATGTGTTTCACATGGCCTACTGACGGGCACTATTTCCGATCCATACCATTTGAATGTGGTGCTGGACTCCATTGTCCATTGTTTTTACAAGTCAGCTCCCTGTTTATTTCAACGTCTTCAAACTAAGTCAGTTATCATACAGCCAATTGTGTTCTGCCCTACTCAACAAAAAGAAAGAGACTTTCTAACACTATTTTTTTTTTTGATGTCTGTTATGAAACACCGTAGTGGCAAATGCTGTTCTGAATCTGCTGTGCTGAATCTGTTGTTGAATGGTGACTCACTTGATGATTGAATGCTGTGCCCAATGGGGTGATAGCTTGACGCTGGTCTCTATCTAGACCCATGAACGAGGCGTCAATAACAATGCCACAGTTACGGGTCTAGGCTCTGTCTTGCTTTATGGATACATGAGAGTCCCAAATGTTTGGTCTAGCAGTTCTACCTATTTTGTATTCACTTTTAAAACAGTACTGCTCTAACAACATGAACTCAGAAACTAGCTCTCCCCATGGGCGTCGCCAGGATTTTTTCTAGAGGGGGCAAAATTTAATTTTCCCAAAAAAATCATGTATTTCTCAACATATTCTCGATTTATCAGTTTTAAAGGGGGGCAGTGACATTTCCTTCCCCTCCCAACTCATTAAATTTCCACCACTTTGCGCCTCTTTTTTGTTTTTGTTTGTTGGGGTGTTTGTTTGTTTGTTTTTTTGCTTTCGGGGGGGGGGGGGGAGGGGCAAGTGCCCCCTTGCCCCCCCCCCCTCGCGACGCCCATGGCTCTCCCCTTATACTAGTTGTCAAGATTTTCAACAAAATTTTGATAAAAAACAGTGACATCAGTATCCATTTTTTTTTCGATGCCATGAGAATCAATGCAGTTGGTAAAATGTGGAAATTGACATCGATGTATTTTACCGTTGACTTTCACAAATTTACACCATACAACCTCTAAACAGCTTAAAACTTTAGTACCTTTGTAATGATTTCTCGTGGTTCAATAATTTTCCCATCAGATTTCATCCAAAATGGCTGAACAAGAAGAGATGATGCCCACACAAGATGCTGAGAGACAGGGGCAGGTTGCTGATGGAGACTGTGCAGAGACTCAGGACCAAGCACTGGCCTTGAGGGGACCAGGCAACCAGGACCAGACAACAGGTGAGCAATAAACCCTGGCTGTAAGCAAACCGTATGCACGTTGAATCCTGGAGACATTTCACTGTTGACTTGTTCACGCTTTACAGTTTGTACGAAATTAAAATGCAAAGGAATTGTTCAAGTTCAGAAATGTGTATTGAAGTGCAAGGGGCTATTCACTTTCTTATACTTCTTGACTTCATTGATTTTTTTTTTGCAGGAATTTATTGTAATTTTTTTTAAAATGGTTATGATGAGTGCAGTGGTAAGAATAATTCCATCTGTCACCTCATGAAACTATTCTTTATGTTGCACGAATGTGAAACATTCATTGTTTGTTTATACAACGCCTGAATAAATCCTTGTCATCTGATTTGTTAGAGCCATCAGAGCCGTGTAACACTGCTACCAATAGTGTGACCGTGGAACTGAACTTCTATTTTTGCGGTGTAGCCAGGCCGTGTGGGTTGGGATGATTAATCCAATATGTCACGTGATTAATGACCCACCAATCAGATGAAGGGGATTTATTCAGGTGTTGTATTATAAGAGACATTTTATTCCCATTTTCCAGACATGATCCCAGTTGCAGCAGTCGATCAATTGCAGCAGTCAGTGCAGCAGATATCAAAAGGTAGAAGACTACAAATAATTAATGATACACAATCTCTTTTCATGCATCCACTCCTATTTGCTTATTTCTGGATCAGTGTAATTTATTGCATGTTTGATTGAAATGGGTTTCTGGTGAAGCTTTCAAGATAATAAGTCAAAGTGGTAGCAGGACCTAAATATTGTTGAATCATGAGCATAAACAAGGCAAATAGTTTGTCTGTTGTTTGTGTTGTGAAGCATAGGCTGCATCCGAATCAGCTGTCTAGAGCTCGGTCTAGGTCTGCGCCCATTGATGTACAGTGATGTAGTTGCTGCCATCGAATATTAGCCAGTTGGCAACTTACTGCAAATTTGTACAGTTCATCAAAGCAGAGACCTTGTGTTGCTTTACCAACCATTGGCCTCAACTAGGGATGCGTTACTGCAACAAAATGAAATCGTTTATAAAAAATAATTTGAATAAATACATGCACCTGCATTATGTAGCACACTTGCAAATTGTAAGCATTAACCCTCCTAGTCTTCTTCACTTTGGCTGGTACAGTTATCACCCCTACTTCAAATTTGTTTGCTTTGTGTCGGTTTGGATAACACTTCAAATTACAGCACAATTGTTGTGTGTGGTGAAGCTTATTTTAGGCAAGAATGTAGATTCTGTCACGCTTCATGGATGTTGACACAGAGCTGTGTTTTTGTGAAGTGACTATTATATTTGTGTGCATGTATATGACACAGTTACTTTTAAACTTCACATCCCTTCACTTGAAACTGACTTTCAGGGTTTTAAAGGGTTGACTTCCCACGAGGAGGGTCAATTCCCTAATAAATGATAATATGCTTGTCTCCTTTTTTGACAATAAACAATTATCCGTCTCGTATTTGTTTTGATTGAAGATGATGCACATGCATCACACCACTCTGGTCATCCATCAGTTGACATATCAGAGAATCCACCAAGTACATCACAGCAACCACCAACACGGCATGTGGCCTCAGGTGCACAAGGTAATTATCAATGAATGTACCAACTCCAAACCAGATGTCAATGTATTCATTCCTTACAGACTAGAGAAACACTTGTACAGGGTGAGTAAAATAAAGCGGAACCCAAACCCCCCAAAATATATTTCATTTTCAAAAAAATATGTAGCACCAAACATAATAATGACTGGAAAGACAATAGATGAAAAACTTACTGAAATTGCTCACTCCGTTCAAAGAATATCACCATTTAAACGTAATGACCCTAAACCTGTTTTGTCCAAAAAGCAGTTTATTGTGTATTCTGACTGTTTGGAACAACAAAGAAAATAACAGAGAATACTTGTGTCAACAACTGCAGTACACAATATCTTTATTAACAACCCTTGTTAGGCAAACAATCTGATAATTGTTAAAATCCACTTTTTTTTTATTGAAAGATGGGCCTTCAAAAGGACTTTGTTGAATATTTTTAACTTTAAACTGAGGTTTTATCGCTGGTGTTGTTGAAGACAATTGTGACGACGATTCTTGAAATTACATTTTTGGAAGAAAGAGGTTTTTGGGTCATTGTGTTTAAATGGTGATTTTTTTTTAATAGATTGAGCAATTTCAGTAATCTTTTCATCTAATAGTAGTTTATGAAATTGGCTTTCCAGTCATTATTATTTTTGGTGAGCAAATTTTTTAAATATGTAATATTTTTTGACTCACCCTGTGGTTGCTTGTAGTCAATTGATAACCTTGCTGGGGAGTGGAGATGCATTTAATGACCACCCTCCCCCTCCCCACGTCACCTGAAGATGTTTTGATACAGCCTGGTGTGGTATGTCATGTACTTCTTTGTCTATGAACGGTCAGATTGCAAAAAAAACAAACATTTGTCTTCCAAGAACAGACGACAAGTACAGATGGAATCAAGCACACGCATGCATCATTTTGTCGGTCGTTTTTTTTAACGATGGTGTTATTCCTGCTTCTGATTGTAGATTCCCCACAACGAACTGGAACCATCGGAACCATCGGCACAATCAGTGGCAGTTACAGTCCTGTCATTGTTGGTTCAAATGCCGTTAATATTACTTACAACTTACAAGGTAAATAATAACCTTGTTCGTTAAGATGGAAGTAATTTGATATGAAATGTCAATATCTATATATATATTTTTTCCTTTTTTTTGGGGGGGGGGGAGACTCAAATCCTCGAGCGAGAGTCACCAATTATCTTTGGTACAACTATAAACCAAGTCAAAATATGGTTGACACAATGGAGGGTGCTTTATATAGCGGTTAAGTCTTGTAATTTTTTGGAATGATTAAGTTTTTAAATAATAACAGGCATTTATATAGCGCTTTTCAACGGGGTATCCCTTTACAATTATTATTACCTTCTCAATTCCCTGGGGAGCATACGCGGCTGGTAGGCAGCCATTTCGGTGCTCTTGGCCGTAATCAACCTCACACAGTAACCATCTCTGCCCACACAGGTACCCATCTACTCCTGGGCGGAGTGAAACACTGAGTGACAAAGCGCCTTGCTCAAGGTCACATGCACCATGACCCTATGCTGGCCAGGCAGACCACAAATTCAATGCTCCAGACCACTAGGCTTATATATTTGTGCCACATTTGAAAAAGGCTTGACCTAAGTCCCACATTATTTTTGCATTTATCAGGCTTTCAAGTATTTCTATTTTTCCTATTTTTTCCAATTTTTTTTTTACCTTTCTCCGACTTTTCCAAGTTTTTCTTAAAAATTCCTACTTTTCCCCCACTTTTTTATGTCCCACAACTCCGAAAAATGAAATCTCACTGAACATTTTTCATAACAGTGTTACACACTGTCATATGTAAATCACACAATGAACTGAATGAAGGGCTTGGGCGCAGGAGTACTGCAACTGTACTTACAAGAGCTTAGTTGAGGATGGAGCGCATGTGTTGTGAGTACAGAACATGCCAATTGAGGCTTATGATGCTGTGGACATGGGCGAGTATCAATGAAAACTACTCCTGAAAGCCCACAAAAGTCCTACTTTAGGCCCCCCCCCCCCCCAAAAAAAATAGTCGGTCTCTGGTCAGACCGAAGTTCCGGAATTGATGCAGCGACGCTTTTTTTTATAATTTTTTTTATGTGGTTTTTTTTTTTTCAAGCTTGTATTGTACAGACAAGGTGGGTATTATTTTGCTTTTTTGTGTCCTCATTATACATTGGTGTCCTCCATAATTTGCCTTGGTGTCCTTTATCATTTGTCTTGGTTCAATTTCCCCATTCCTTGGAGCTCCTTGGTACAAACATTTGAGGAGGCGCGGCAATAGAGGGCGCTGTTGTAGCTTCCATGTTAATTTGAAGAAAAAAAAAAGGTTGACGCGCATGATTAAAATCGACACGCGCGCTGACCAGAGACCGAGTATTTTTTTTTTTGGCCTTGTCCTGGTTTTGTCCTCCAAAGTCCCTTTTCTGTCCTGTTTTGGTTTCCTTTATTTTGAGCTTCTTTTCTTCTCATGTTTTCCTGGGTCTGCTTGAAAGCTTGATTTATGCATGAATGAGTGGAATAATGGGTTGTTTTGGGAAAAATGAATAATCATGGTTGGTAACGTGAGCTGTAGGGCAAAGCAAAAAAAATGGGTTCGTACATTGCGATTGACTTCAACTTATGTTCAATCAGAATTGAAGTAACCAGAGATGGTGGATGCACTTTCTGGTGCATGCATCCACTCCTGGATAGGGCTGGAAAAATGACTTCTGCTTCTGGTTACCAACTGACCCTAAATTTTACGACCGACCCTAATATTTTTTATTTGTGCAAATAAAAATAATTTTAGCAATACTCACATGACGTTCACACGAAGCGTGCACGTGGTTGCTAGTGTTTGTCGGTTAAGTGTGTGACATCACGTGGCTGCAATCAGCTGAATGAGAACGTGTCGCGAATGCTGATTTCGGGCACAATTCAAAACATGACTCTGCAACTTCAAGAAAATTGAGATCATAGAATATTGCTTTCTCGGAACATACAGTATTCACTGAGCTAAAATTTCATAAGCACCTTCTTAAGATTTGAGCACTTTTGTTGTTTCAAACGAAAAAAAAATGCACAAATAACAAATGATATACTCTACCTTACATGTAAGTCAATGCATTCATTACTCATTTCAATTTATTGCTTGGATGCCACAATGCATTGTTTAATTAAGTCAATCAACTGTTTACTCATTTCAATATTTTAGGATGCAGCGCACCCAAAAAGATGAAGCTTGACAGTCCAGCCCAAGATGCTGCTGATTGCTGTCAAAAGGACCTGAAATGGTACTACAGGATGACAGGTAGCTTTGTGGATTTGATTCCATGGTTCGGTGATGACAGGAAACATATCTTGGACATCTACACAAAGTTACAGTTAATACTTGGTAAGGACAAAGTCATGCTGACATCATATGATGATATATTACTACTTAAGACAAAAGAGGGAGAACTGATCCCAATAGCAGTTTTAACTGGGTTGGCTGGTAGAGGAAAGACCACACTTTTTAACAAAATTGCATATGATTGGGCAGTTGGTTCTAGTCAGGTACTACAGAAGTATAAACTTGTCTTCCTGTTGAAAATGCACGCACTGGAGCAGAGTTCAGATCTTGTTGATGCAGTGTTTGACCAACTCTTGGCTAAAGATGTAAGTATTGAAAGAGGTGCCCTAGACATGTTTATCAAGAACAGTCCTGGAAAAGTCCTCGTTTTACTAGATGGCTTTGATGAGCTCATGACTACCACCTTGTGTGAATCCTCATTTGGTTCCATTCTGGAGATCCTAAGTGGTAAGGTGTTGAGGGGTTGTACTGTACTTGTAAGCACCCGCCCCTCACACTTTGACAGACTCGTATCAAAGGAACTGGTTCAGGACCCATTCGCACATGTCAGGGTCCTTGGTTTCAGTAGTAAAGATGTCACCGAGTATGTTAATAAATTTTTCACTGGTGAACCTGACAAGGCCAAGGGGCTTCTTGAAAAGATTGAATCGTCACACCTTCTGTCCACTTTAGGCAAAAGTCCAATGCTTCTTCTTTTGATGTGTGTACTATGGAGAGAAGATTGCACTCTCCAAGAAACAATGTCACGTCTGTATAGTGATGGCGTTTCATACATCTTCAAAAGAAAGGGATTGGACTCACAACATGAAGTGTCAAAAGTTATGATTGAAATTGGTAAGGTTGCGCTGCATGGTCTTCTTTCTCCAGATCAGTCACTCTCTTTCAAAGAAAGTGACTTTAAGTTTGAGCCGAGTGTGCTTGACCTGGCTCTGAAGGCAGGTATTCTGACCAGACAGAGAGTCCGCAAGAGACTGCAGAGTCACAACAGTGTTCAGTTTATTCACAAGACATTCCAGGAATTCTCTGCTGCTGCTTACTTGCAAAGCTTGTTAGAAGCAGACCCAGAGGAATTTCAGAAGATTTTGAATGAAATTATGACAAAGGGTGCAAGGAGGTTTGAGTATCTTCTGCGCTTTTGTTGTGGTGACAATGAGGCATGTACATATGAGATTCTGAAGGTATTTCAGGTCAGGTGCCAGGAGGAGTTGTCATTCAAATCAAAGATGGGTCAGTTGGCACTTCATTGTTACTTTGAAGGTCAATCCAAACGTTTGCCTCCAGAGGAACTCATACAATCATTCATAGCTGATCAAATCACCATTAAACATCTTGACAGGGATTGTCTGAACTCAGTCACATACTTTCTGAAATGTGTTGCTGACCAGACAAGGGACAGTGGTAATGCTTACCTTGCTAAAGTACAGAAATTCTGTAGTTTTACTTGCAACTTGAGATGGTGTGTTGAGGATTTCGCTTTTGCCATGTGTGCAATGAAAAATCTTTATGCTGTATTGCTCACGTCTTGCTCATTGACTGGTAGCAACATGGCAGATATTGCTAAGTCACTCAGGGATCTATCCAACTTGGGTAAATTGGAAGTTTTTCTAAATAACCTGGGTGGTACGGCAGCATTATGGTGCATGCATTTGAAGGAGTTTAAGACCCTCACAAAGTTGGCCTTGTCTTACTGCAGTTTGACTGAACAGGACATCAAAAATATTGCTGAGTCACTTATGGATCTACCCAACTTGGGTGAATTGGGTTTTGCTCATAATAAACTGGGTGGTACAGCAGCATTATGGTGCATGCATTTAAAGCAGTTGAAGTCCCTCACAAAGCTGGACTTGGGTGGCTGCTCATTGAATGGACCGGACATCAAACATGTTGCTGAGTCACTCAGGGATCTACCCAACTTGGTTGAATTGGATCTTTCTCGCAATCATGACCTGGGCGGTACTGCAGCATTATGGTGCATGGAGGTAAAACAGTTGAAGTCCCTCACAAAGCTGGGCTTGGGTAGCTGCTCATTGAATGGACAGGACATCAAACATGTTGCTGAGTCACTCGGCGATCTACCCAACTTGGGTGAATTGAATCTTAATGGTAATAACCTGGGTGGTACAGCAGCATTATGGTGCATGCATTTGAAGCAGTTGAAGTCCCTTACAAAGCTGAACTTGATTAGCTGCTCATTGAATGGACAGGACATCAAACATGTTGCTGAGTCACTCAGGGATCTACCCAACTTGGGTCAATTGAATCTATCTGATAATTATGACCTGGATGGCACAGCAGCATTGTGGTGCACGGAGGTAAAGCAGCTGCTGCACCTTCAGAGGCTGGATCTCAACAGGTGTCCCCTGACAGAGGAAGACAAGAACCATATTAATGAGTCACTAACTGACCTGAAGAAGAATGGATTAGTCATTGCCATGAAACCTTAGATGGTTTAAATCACGTTGATTTAAATCACTGATTTAAATTATGATTTATATCAAATACATTTTTTATTTAAATCACTGATTTAATTCACTTGTTTTGTAAAAATTATATTTCTGGCAAAATTAATAGATTGAGGGTCATTTTAATCATTTTAATCAACTGATTCCACCTAATTACAAAGTGTAAGATGTTGTTAACACATTCAAAACCCCTAAATGTACTTCATCAGCATCGACTCAACTTATAGGTTTTGCATAATTACCCAAGATCATTGTTTTATTAAAGTCAAGAATAAGATCTGACTTTAAAACTTGTCTTTGAAGTTTGAATTCTTAAGAAAGCACACTCACTTTTGCGTTTATCATTCCTGAATCTGTTTACAGTAATATTGTGAATCAACTGTGCTGGTGTATGTTTACGTGAACCATCTAAAGGTGCACTAAAGTCCCAATTGATAATCTTATTCCTAACGTTTCTCTATAAAATTGAGATTGAGATTTATATAATACATTTTTAAAGGTGCAAGGCCTGATTTCTGTTTTCCACCTTGTATAAAAGACCATTAAACACCATTAAGTTACACAAGGACCAGTGCTGCCAGTTTTGAAATGAGAAGCATTTATATGAAATAAACATGCCACTGGAGAACTGTACAAATTTGTTTCATTCATATGCACAAATAATGTATCCAAGCTGTATCAATCAAGCGATACACCTTTAAAGTGTCTCAGTATTATTGTACCATTGACCAAGTGAGGTAGACTATATGTAGATGAAATCAAGTGATTTTTTTTTAAACCACTGATTCAATACAATTTTTTTCAAAAGCATTGATCAATTTATTGAGTTTTGTGGATGATGGGTATTGTAGGAACCTGTAAACTCCTTAGTTATGGGTGTAAGGGTGCATAGGGAGATTAAGACATTCTTAGACAAATCAATATTTTGAAAGTTAAATAAAAAAAAAAGTGATTTAAACAATAAAAAATATGATTTAAATCAAATAAATTCTTTTTTATTTTTTATTATTTTAAATAAAATTTGCCAACCCTGCATTTGGATTAGTCACAATTGAACGGACTTGTTAATGTATGAATAAGAAGTGTTGCCAGATACTTTTGTTTGAATAAAGTCCGTGGTAAAAAAGCTGGACTTTTCGTCTAAAGAGTCAACAGTAAAAGTTTAATTCACTGGCCATTTTTCTTTTCTTTCGGCAGGCAGAGGGTATAAACCTGAACAAATCTAGAAGCATAATTGTAACAGGAGTGACTTGAGTATAACAGAGAGGTTCCTCCGTGGCATTTTAATTGTGGCTCCTCCATTGGAACCATTCAGAAATTCTCAAAGTCCTTTCTATTAAAGCTGCAAATCACAGCACATTGACAAAGATGTGATAGACAATGTAGGCGAGGCACTGATGGGCAGGACTTCTGCCTACATTGTATATTGGTCAGATTAGAGAATCTTTCAATAGTGAACACCATTAGTTGGTGTCTCAACAACATCATGCAAGTCCAGTACACTTCTATAAGTCAACAAATCTGTTTCGTCACCCATCGCAAAGTTGGAAATGTTCATTTCTGGTTGTAAGATTCTGTTAAGCAATCTGCGATTGTTGTCTTGGGACGCCTTCTACATCTGTGATGAGATGTTTCCTTTCACGTGTCTCTGAGTGTTTCCTATACTGTGTGCTTCCTTGGGGTTGGGAGTAGGGGCTTTACCTGCCACCTATTACCCTCTGACAACACATTTTGCCTATCAGCTGTAAGGGGATCTTTCTTTGAACATGCTTCTGTCTATCTCTGCTGGTTTGTGTTTCTCCTAAGGGAGTGAGTCCCAGTCATCTACCACCCTCTTTCTGAACACATTGCCTATCAGCTCCTCATGTGTCTCTCTGTTTCTGCTGCTGTGTTTCTTTCCTGTACTGCCTCTCATACATATGAAGATCTTGCACTGACTCCAAGCCAATTCAATCACCCTTATCAACTGAAAGTCAACATTCCTTTGTCCCCTTAATGTCTCCTCGGCCCATACAGAAAGTCCCTTGGCCTTGTCAGGTTTGAACCCTTAGCTGCATCAACTGACTTGAACTGTCTGCTCAGATTAATCATTACAGTCAAATTTGGACCTTCCCACATTGATGGGGAAATATCCATCACAAAGTGCTGGTTAGTGGTGACATTTTGTGAGTCTCATTTTCAAATTCTGCGAAAACACTTAAGATCTGCCCAGCAAATGATTTCTGTATTGGATAGTGTAACTGCACCTTGCACAGTGTACCAAGGGGCACTACGGAAAATGTAGAAATTTGTTCAAATGCTAGTTACCCAGGATATTTTTTCAGAGAGGAAGATATTTGCAAGAACTATCTGTAGTCTGTGAATAATGAGGATCCTTATCTCTGTATTCCAGTAACTTGACTGTGACAGATGTAACAGTTGTAATTACATGTAGTGTGGTCATTACTCTATGGTCTGATGATTGGGGATAACATGTACATGTAGAAATACAACCAGCCATTCTCATTAACTGTAATAATTGTACATATTACATGATAAATTGTTTGTAAATATGCAGAGGTAATTTATATGTATATTTTTTTTGTTATTTTAATATCACTTGTAAATGAATATTGCTGCAAATTGCCTACTGACCTGATTGACCTGCAATGCACATGCAATCATGTCTGTAAACATTTCTGAAATACCTGTGTTTGTAAGTATTAATATTCGCCGTCTGTTTCACCAATGCACTTTTCTTAAGAGTTTTACTGTGCTGAACATTATTTAATAATTTGTAATGTATGTAGGGCCCCAATGGAAGGTTTTTTACAACTGTTTGGGCACAACCTGGGTATAAAGAAATGGAATAAATAAATAAAAGAAATCAAGTGAGATGGCTTGACTTTTCAATCCTAGTAGGGTCTGACTCAGATGCAAACAAAACTATGTGAATTTTTAATATTGCTCATCTGAAGATTGGGCAAAGTGTCTCAGCCAAATTGTTCTATTTTTATAACTTCTATTTTGTATTAATATATAGTCTGATGTACTTTTTATAACAGCCAACTTGCCTTGCTTTTGTACCAAGTCATAAGAATCATGAATCTTGCCATCATTGGATCCAGTACAACTCAGATTTTTTAATATCAGGAATCACATATTGCATGATGTACATTGTACAGTGTTTACAATGGGTCAGATGTTGGTTATTTCGAGATGAATGTTTCCTTTATTATGCACTGAATGCCCGCATCATTAGTGTAATGCTGACATAGCAGGCTGACATAGTCTAGTGTGGGTTTTTTCTCTTTGTCTTATGTCACACACAATTAAGCAAGGCATTTGAGTTTATGATACACCAGGTTTTTAAGCAAATCAATAGCATTCTTTTCTCAGTCATTTGTTGCTGTTAAATCTCTGATTAAGAAAAGGCTACACCAAGTTAGGACACAACAATTATATGAAATTTGTCTCATGTAAGTTTTTTGTGATTGAGACAGCCAGCACGTATTTGATCCGATCTTTCAAATTGCTGTTCTGTTTAAGTTCTCGCTCTTTGAATATTCATAAAGGTTTGAAAACGATACTTCAAATGATTCTGATGTTTGACAGTATTGAAGTGTTGGTTTTTTCCTCTAAAGATTGTTTGTTATTTCCTTGCTACAATACTCAAGAAATATTTTCTGTTGTCATTTTGCTTCACCTCAAAAGACAGTACTGAGGTTTCTTTCTTCACAATCACCTTGTATTTATAGATAAGTTTCCAGTGAAAGTCAAGTTTCATGGTCATTCCTGGTATGAAATTGATGTCTGTCAAAATACAGGTTTTTGTGTGCCTCATGCGTTTTGATATTTGAACTAAGTTTACATCTGATAAGTCGCATTTAAAAGTATGGGATTGTTGTATGCGAATGTAGTTAAATAAAGACACTTTTGCAACGGATTGCTTGTTTGTTAACAGCTGTGTGTTTTTGTGTGTGTGTCAAGTTCTAAATATGGCTGGGGTGAATTTACAATGGGAGCGACAAGTTAGAAGGGGAATTATTAGGTTGAAGAAAAAGGTAGATTAAAAGTTGCTTATTTGTTGCTGTATACTGCCGAGTGTGCAGAATTATTTTAATGACCTAACCCCCCCCTTCCACTTCATCGATGTGTATCAATTCTTTTAGGAACAGGAGCCAAAATTAATGAGAGGTATACAAATTATTAATATGAAGACATTTTCCTTTCATTTTGCAAGCAAATATTTGTAAAGGGATGTGAAACGTTGGATTTCTGACGCTTGTTTTGATCCGCTAACATTATAATGTGAGGGAGACAAACCACACCACAATACAGAGGACCCCAAAGCCCTCCTGTTTTGACCCCGCCCAGTCTGTGTTATTGGAAAATTTTTGAATACCGTCTGTGTACTGCTAAATGTGCAGGATTATTTTAACGACCTAACCCCCCCCCCCCCCCTACTCCATCGATGTATACCGGTATCAAATCTGTTAGGAACAGCTAGCTAGGAGCCAAATGAAAGGTAAATAACATTATAAATAATGAGAGGGAGACAAATCACACCACAATACAGAGGACCCCAAAGCCCCCCCCCCCCCTTTTGACCCCGCCCAGTTCGAAACCAACTTTTTATGAATACCGCCCTCTATTGCACTGAGGTCAATGACCAACACCAGGAAATAAATCTGTGACGGCTCATCAAGTGATCAACAAGATTCTCGGCCGGCCCGCTAGTAAAGGTTGGAAAGTTTTTTTCTTTTACCACATTTTACCATTAATTATATATTTAAAGTGATGATTATGGTTGGATATAGCATCGTGACAATTTTGATTCTTTTTAAAGATACAACTATTGATTTTTTCAGAGTTTTTTTGCCAAAAAAATGACCAACCCCAACTTCCCAAGTCAAGACTAGCTGGAGTTACCCAGCCCTGAGTTTTATCATTGGGTTGTCTATAATAAGGGCTGGAGCGAATTTTTCTCGTAACTTGTAGTATTTGCAAAAATTTTTGGAAAATGTTCAATTTTGTCCCCGTTACACACTAATTGCAACTGCAACTCACCCCAAACTTGCCTGGAATAACCTAGCCCCACTAGTGTGGCCGTCGGTATGCTGCGCTGAAAGGTTCAGCGCAGCATACCGACGGCCACACTAGTGGGGCTAGGAATAACCATTACACGGGTCCTTGAAGTAAAAAACGATCCACGATGAAGATTCAGCCTACAATTGCAGTGAAAACAGGAGGAATAACCGCTAACTTGACAACCTTGCTGGATTGGCCAGGACCGCAATTGGTTTGTGCACAAAAAAAATTGTGTACAATGAATGGCGGTCGATTAACAGGCACAGAGAGCGATCGCTGTCAACTACTCGTTTTTGCCGGCTGCGCTGGCTGTTGGCGCATGACGTCACGCGGAAGCGTAACACCCGATGACTGTTTCATGCACTATTAGTTGCGGTTCCAGTACCAAAGCTGTGATGCGAGTGGTAAACCTTATATTAGTGCATAAAACAGTCATCGGGTGTTACGCTTCCGCGTGACGTCATGCGCCAACAGCCAGCGCAGCCGGCAAAAACGAGTAGTTGACAGCGATCGCTCTCTGTGCCTGTTAATCGACCGCCATTCATTGTACACAATTTTTTTTGTGCACAAACCAATTGCGGTCCTGGCCAATCCAGCAAGGTTGTCAAGTTAGCGGTTATTCCTCCTGTTTTCACTGCAATTGTAGGCTGAATCTTCATCGTGGATCGTTTTTTACTTCAAGGACCCGTGTAATGGTTATTCCAGGCAAGTTTGGGGTGAGTTGCAGTTGCAATTAGTGTGTAACGGGGACAAAATTGAACATTTTCCAAAATTTTCCAAAAAGTTACGAGAAAAATTCGCTCCAGCCCTTATAGACAACCCAATGATAAAACTCAGGGCTGGGTAACTCCAGCTAAGTCAAGACAAGACTTAGCCCCATTAGTGCGGCCACACTAGTGGGGCTAGACAAGACTCATTTTCGTTGGTATATCGCGTATCGTCAGACCTCCTGCTACGCGCTCCTATTTCTGCGCACTCGCATATCAGCAATATTTTGCAAGGCGTGCATCCAAAAATAAAAGACAAACTTTCACTGGGATCTTATCTTTTGATGCACAAACTTTAACCAGAGCGGAAAAAGGAGCAAGAATGCAGGGCCACGCCGGAGCAAGGTTTTTTATTCTGCTTGGAGGGCGTGGTGGATCGAGGTCGGCGATGTTGTGAGGATAGGAGTAATAGGTTGACAATATAATAATATGCAAACCTGCAAAAAGTGCTAAGTACAGCAAATGCACTTGTCTTCTAAGCTTCTCATGAAGGATCGAAAGGTCGGAGGGCGCGCTCCACGCCTCCACGATTTTCGGAGGTAGGTCGACTGCGGCTCCACGCCTCCACACAGCCGTACGGAGGCGTGGATGTAGAGTGAAGTGGCCCTGCATTCTATAGTTGTACCCGGAAAAAAATGTGGACATTGAAGGCTTTACCGTTAATTCAGGCAAAAACCAAAAAACATGTGCTTTTTACAGCTAATTAGTAGTACAGTCGTTTTCCTAGTTCCGGATTTTTCCTAGTTCCGGATCGCTTCAAATAAAAACCTACCTCTTTTTGATTAGTCTCCAATAAAAAAAAATCTGACGGAGTGCACGTTGAAAAGCAAAATGTAAGTTTCTTGATACCCAAAGATCTTTTCAATAAAACCTTTAGAAAAGGAATTTTGGCCAGATTTCCGACTCGCACTCTGACATGTTTGGACGGTTTAAAGAAAATCACGGGAGCTGCGAATCGACGATAAATTTTTTCCTTTGTGGTTTCGAATATTTTTTTCATTCACTACAATCGTATAAACTCTTCCATCGAATGTTTGTTCAATCAAAATAAGTTGTAGCGTCTCTAATATTTGAAAATTCGCCAACGAATGACAGTATGCTTTTGCCTAGTTCCGGATCGCGCGTACACTTACGACCCAACTACACGCGCGTTAATCGATTTTGTGTGACGTATTCTGTGCTGGGTCAAAGATTTTTCGGTCCGTGCGTGAGTTCGAGCCGTTGCGCTGCAGACAAGTTTCAAAATCATTTACGTTTTTTCTCTTTTTAAAATTTGCTGGAATTCTCTTGCATGAACTATTTTTGGATAATGAAATAATACTTTGTCAGAAAAGATGTTTGATCGGTTGGTTCTGGCTGAAAAAAAGGATTGATTTTTTTCAAATAGAAACTTAATGATAGATTTACACATGAACTTTAACAGATTGTCTCCTTTAGTTTTAGGCAGTGTGGCATTGCAATCACTTTAAAAATGAGAGGCATTTTCCCCAGCATACCCTGTCCAGCTTGTATGCAAGCAAGCTCTCCCGCATTGTGATTCACATGAGCGCTGGGGCATAATAATGTTTCTGATCGACGTACATTTTGAACGTAGTGCTGGACTTCTTCCACTTGTGGTGGAAAAAGTACACATAGTATGCAAATTTGAAGAGATTTACACAAGATCTTTAACAGATTCTCTCCTTTATTTACATAAACGGTCTGGCTGGCATTGCAATCAGTATAAAAATGAGAGGCATTCTCTCCGACATACCCCATCCAGGTTGTTGTCGGCAAGGTTCCCCGCTTGTGTTTCACACGGCCTACTGACGGGCGCTATTTCTGATCGACATACATTTGAAATGTGATGCTGGACTTCCTTGACTTGAAGTGGAAAAACTACACATACCTGTAGAAGCTTGATGAGATTTAGACATGAACTATAACAGATTGTCTCCTTTAGTTTTACAAAAATTCATGGTGGCATCGCAATCGGTTAAAAAATTAGAGGCATTTTTCCTGCAGCCTCGACTCCAGGGGCACGTGCTCGTTCCTTACACTAACCCCTGGCTGTGATGATGACGTAAATGACGCTGATTGGCTATTCACAGCGTACTGCGCGCGCATTTAGAAGATTGCGTGCCGGGCGCGCCCATAATGAGCTCGCGTGCTTTGCACGTAACGTCACGTACGAAAAAAAATTATGATTCAAAAGTCGCGATGCCTGTACGATATGGATTATGTCAGCCGCGTTTTTCGCTAAAAAAAACCCTGTATCTGTGTTTGTAAAGGCACGAAACAGGTACGTACATTTAATGCAAATCTTTGCTAATTAACACAACGTCCAAACGTTGTGTTTGAAAGGATTGATTCTTCAAAATTACAACTTTTAACATTTTAAAGATGGTGCCGCGCGTAAAACGGATAAACTGCAGCCCTAATTATAATATACCGTATTTCAGCACATTTAAATCACACAATTCCAGGGGTTACGATCGCGCAAGGCATGATGGGAAACAACATGTCGCTGCAAGATCGTACCCACGGGGCACGAGGTTGTTTTTCCTGGCATAACCCTGTACAACAAAGACCAAGTCCATTGTTTTTACAAGTCAGCTCTCTGTTTATTTCAACGTCTTCAAACTAAGTCAGTTATCATACAGCCAATCGCGCTCTGCCCTACTCAACAAAAAGAAAGAGAATTTCAAACACTACATGTGCTTTTACAGTATTTCTCTCGATTAATATATATGAGAGTCCCAAATTTTGGTCTGCGCAGTTTTACCTATTCTGTATTCACTTTTATAACAGTACTGCTCCAACAACATGAACTCGGAAACTAGCTCTCCCCTTATACTAGTTGTCAAGATTTTCAACAAAATTATGACAAAAACAATGACATCAGTATCCATTTTTTTTCCAAGTTGATGCCGTGAGAATCAATGCAGTTTTAATGTACAATGGTTGAATTTGACATCGTAAAAATGTCAAACAAACATCGAAGTATTTAACCGTTGACTTTCAATAATTTACACCATAAAACTGGAATACTCTTAACAGCTTAAAGCATTAGTACCTTCCTAATGATTTCTCATGGTTCAATAATTTT